TATATATATATGAAAATGCTAGTACGAATTATTTATTATCATGTCTGGGTAATTATAAAATGAACAATGCTGTAATAAGTTACTAAATACTGGATAGACTCGTGCAAGGTATATGACCGGGTTAGAAACATTCGCGATAGCGATTATAGGGGGAATTTTAAGCAGCGTACTCGACATGTAAGCAAATCTAGCAACGGCCATAATGCGTGGTCTTTTTACTGTCACTGGTCCGGGGTCAGGGTGGCATATGGCGGTGGTGATGTTACTTATTAAGAACTACATAATGAAAACATACTCTTGTCGCAATAATACAGTATAAAATAGTTAAGCTTTTACATTATTGAAAAATAACAACGCTATCAAAATATTTATTTATTTGTTTGTTTTAAATTACAGAAGTGCCACACAATTGCCTGTCCACCGCCCCATCGATCCCAACATGGCTGTGACGATATCCAATTTACAAAGAGCGAGGGTGCACAGCCCCATGAATGTAATACGGGAAATGTGGACGATATTATTGAACAATTGGAGTTTCTTTAGTGTAAGTCACGAACTGGAAAATATGGTGTTGTATCATATTTGTGAATAATTGAGATGGAATGAATAGGACAGCCAACTGTTATTATTAATACGAAGTTTAACTCTTCAGGGACGAGGCGCAGCCTGCCTGCCTCCCTGCCTCCCTGCCTTCAGAGCGATTATAGTTTCCAAATAGCGCGAAGTGTACACCGCATATGTACTAGTAGAAAGTAGTAAACAACAATGTTTGAATATTGCCAAGGAAAACAGACGACGAGCAGTGTTCATACACAGTATAATTTGTTTTTGCGAAATCTGACAAGTAGTCGAATGCACGTTGTATTAACATCGGTTAGCAAACTTTGCTCACCAACTCTATGGTGAAACTTAAATGAAAGTTATAATAATCTTCAATCAGTACTAATTTTGTCGTTTTAAATTAAAAATAGTATTATGAAATTCTGCCTTTGTAAAATATAGCCGGATTTTTTTTATACAAATATCACATAAAGACAGCGAATCCCATGTATTTCAAGAAAAAAATAGAAATTTAGACAATTTTTGTTCAGTAAATTAGAGTAAATAAGAGTTTGCGTGAATGCATAATATGTTCAAGTTATTATGGAGGTGAACTGGAAGAGTTTGCAATTATATATAATTATATCTGAGAACTGGTAACCGATCGGTTATAAGCAATCTATCAATGGTTAATATTAATAAACAAACATAAACGAAATAATAGCAAATATGGCATATGATTGACTGGCCGACTGTATTTATGTGTATTTTGTTTTGTATATTGTTAAATATGAATAATTAAATTAATTAATTAATTAATTAATAATTTAATTGATTAATTTAATCTTCCGAATTTAGTGAGCAAATTGCGCCCATCGTACGATTACAGCGTTTCTGATTTGGTGAGTAAATCGCGCTCACCACACGTTTACCTCATGCCTGTTTTAGTGAGTAAATTCTACTCATCGTTCGAATATATCTTGCCTGATTTGGCGAGCAAACTGTACTCATTGTACGGTTACATCTTCTCTGGTTTGGTGAGAAAATTTTGCTCCTCGTACGGTTCACATGCGGTATGATTTTTGGAGAGTAAACAGTACTCACCCTGTGGTTACATATTCACTAATTTGTGAGTAAATAGTACTCACCGTACGGTTACATCTTCTCTGATTTGTGAGTAAATAGTACTCACCGTACGATTACATCTTCTCTGATTTGTGAGTAAATAGTACTCACCCTACGGTTACATCTTCTCTGATTTGTGAGTAAATAGTACTCACCCTACGGTTACATCTTCTCTGATTTGTGAGTAAATAGTACTCACCCTACGGTTACATCTTCTCTGATTTGTGAGTAAATAGTACTCACCCTACGGTTACATTTTCTCTGATTTGTGAGTAAATAGTACTCACCCTACGGTTACATCTTCTCTGATTTGTGAGTAAATAGCACTCACCCTACGGTTACATCTTCTCTGATTTGTGAGTAAATAGTACTCACCCTGTGGTTACATCTTCACTAATTTGTGAGTAAATAGAACTCACCGTACGATTACATCTTCTCTGATTTGTGAGTAAATAGTACTCACCGTACGGTTACATCTTCTCTGATTTGTGAGTAAATAGTACTCACCGTACGGTTACATCTTCTCTGATTTATGAGTAAATAGTACTCACCCTACGGTTACATCTTCTCTGATTTGTGAGTAAATAGCACTCACCGTACGGTTACATCTTCTCTGATTTGTGAGTAAATAGTACTCACCCTACGGTTACATCTTCTCTGATTTGTGAGTAAATAGCACTCACCGTATGGTTACATCTTCTCTGATTTGTGATTAAATAGTACTCACCGTATGGTTACATCTTCTCTGATTTGTGAGTAAATAGTACTCACCGTACGGTTACGTCTTCTCTGATTTGTGAGTAAATAGTACTCACCCTACGGTTACATCTTCTCTGATTTGTGAGTAAATAGTACTCACCCTATGGTTACATCTTCTCTGATTTGTGAGTAAATAGTACTCACCGTACGGTTACATCTTCTCTGATTTGTGAGTATATAGTACTCACCGTACGATTACATCTTCTCTGTTTTGTGAGTAAATAGTACTCACCGTACGATTACATCTTCTCTGATTTGTGAGTAAACAGTACTCACCATACGGTTACATCTTCTCTGATTTGTGATTAAATAGTACTCACCATACGGTTACATCTTCTCTGATTTGTGGGTAAATAGTACTCACCCTATGGTTACGACTTCTCTGATTTGTGAGTAAATAGCACTCACCGTACGGTTACATCTTCTCTGATTTGGTGAGCAAATTGTCCTCACTGTACGATTACATCTTCTCTGATTTGTGAGTAAATAGTACTCACCGTACGGTTACATCTTCTCTGATTTGTGAGTAAATAGTACTCAATGTAAGGTTACATCTTCTCTGATTTGTGAGTAAATAGTACTCACCGTACGGTTACATCTTCTCTGATTTGTGAGTAAATAGTACTCACCGTACGGTTACATCTTCTCTGATTTGTGAGTAAATAGCACTCACCATACGGTTACATCTTCACTAATGTGTGAGTAAATAGTACTCACATTACAGTTACATCTTCTCTGATTTGGTGAGCAAATTG